ACCAGGTGCTCATCAACCACTGATCTCATATCATCAACTTTACTTCCCAACTGCTGTGAGACTTGACTGATACTACCATTAAGGCCTTGAAGCATATTGGTGTTATTGGCAAGAACTTGAAAAAGATTTTGACTCATTTTTAAGTCATCACTTCTTTGCTTTACAAGCTCACAAGTTAGGTTGAGAATCTGATCAGTAGTATCACTGGTGGCAGTACCAGCCACACCAGCAGTATACTAGCTCCAGTATTAGCACACTCATCTGTATTCAACTGTGATAGTGTAACACCATTGATACCCAGTAGTATTATAAGGATAAGGATTATGAAGACTTGTATACCAATGATACAGAACAGGCCTTTCCTTCCAACTGGGACAGTATTGTGTATCTGCAGGGAAGTTATTGGTCATTGAGGGAAGTCATCCTTTCCATCATACTGGTCAATCTCATAAAGATGCTTACTATCATCAACCTCCATGACTGCAGGAACAACCTTCTCTGTCACCAAATCTGCAGAGATGTCCGTAACTCTATACAAGATTCATTAGAACTAGATCTATCCATATTGTATTTATTGATGTAACACTTAATGAATACAGGTCCTACCCTCCATAAACGGAGCGCCCATTGTCTGCCTATTGTGTGTGTGTGGCTGTGTATGTGTGTGTGTGTGTGTGTGTGCAGTTTGGGAATGATGATTATAATTTAAAGCTGCAACAGCTCTACATAATTGCATATACATGTACATATACATATATACTTCCATGATTTCTTGTGTACACAACGCATTGGCGGAATATAAATTAAGAGCCAGCCTGCCTATAACTCAATATTAGTGACTGGAGTGAGTGGAATCAATTCAAACTTTCTACATAACATAAGGGCATCAGTAAAAACTGCGTTATACGGTAATATGTCTATGTACAATTTTACAATTAAAAATAAATAATAATAATAATAATAATAATAATAATAATAATAATAATAATAATAATAATAATAATAATAATAATAATAATAATAATAATAATAATAGTCCTATTTAAATCAATATACAAAATTAATAATGGATTTCCTATAGGCAGTAATGATGATTAATAATAGTTAAAATTAAATTAACAATGATAGTAATTTTGTTCATCACAGACTTGTTTTGGGGCAGGAAACCCACAACCATGAAAATGGCTTTAATTTCGGGTAATGTTGGATCTTAAAATAAAGAGAATAATAATTATAAGCAAGAGAAGAATCACATGTCTTTCAAATTCAAACCATTTATAATTTAAATAAAAAGTTCCCGTATTATAGTACAGGGATTTTGGCTGAATTTCGCCAAAAATAAGAAGGTGAGAATTCTCTATTTTTATTACATTTTCTGATGCATATACATGTACTTATTTTGTGTAGAAAGTTTGAGCTGATTCCGATCAAGTTTGGATTTTTTACGAATTTTTAAAGTTACTCCGAAATCGGGTAAAAGTCCCTGTACTATAGTACAGGGATTTTGGCCAAATTTCGCCAAAAATTTCGCCAAAAATGACCAGAAGAGAATTCTCCACTTTTATTACATTTTCTGATACATATACATGTTCTTATGTTGTGTTTCAAGTTTGAGCTGATTCCAATCAAGTTTAGATTTTTTACGAATTTTTAAAGTTGCTCCGAAATCGGGTAAAAGCCCCTGTACTATAGTACAGGGATTTTGGCCAAATTTCGCCAAAAATGACTAGGAGAGATTTCTCCATTTTTATTACATTTTCTGATACATATACATGTTCTTATGTTGTGTTTTAAGTTTGAGCTGATTCCGATCAAGTTTGGATTTTTTCCGAATTTTTAAAGTTGCTCCGAAATTGGGTAAAAGTCCCTGTACTATAGTACAGGGATTTTGGTCAAATTTCACCAAAAATGAAAAGGAGAGAATTCTCTATTTTTATTACATTTTCTGATGCATATACATGTACTTATTTTGTGTAGAAAGTTAGAGATGATTCCGATCAAGTTTGGATTTTTTTACAAATTTTTAAAGTTACTCCAAAGGCCATGTACTATAGTACAGAGACTTTGGCCAAGTTTTTTATCAATAATTATAATTATTAATTAATGCAAAGTTGCAAACCTGATCAAACCACCTGCAAATGTGAACAAGGCTCATCTTTTCTGAATAACTCATATTAATCTAATAAAAAATAAATAAATAAATATAAATCATAAAGAATCAAAATTTGCCATTTCGCTTGAAAAAAATTGTTATCATGGGCTATATATAAGCTATAGTCTAAAATTTTTTCAAAAATGGTTTTGCTTCTACTACATGTATTGCTATTTTTATGTAGCCACATGTGCCGTAAATCACGATGAAATAAAGTAACTTGCACTTACTAAAATTTTGTGAAGACCGTAAAATAATAAAATATCCGATAATGAGAAGCCAGATCCAGAAACGTACAGTCTCTTTGACAGATGTGAGTTTAATTCCTATGAATATTTAAATTAATCCTAGCATTATTTATAATTGTTTTTCCTCATTAATTGTCATGTCTTGCTTTTAATAATTATTTTTGAATTTATCAAGCCATTTTTAGAACACTATAAATCACTTACTTTTAAAGCACCGAAAAGTTGTTCCCGCGGCAACGGCTGCCACGGCAACACTCCCCTGATCCTCGTGAGGTAAAACATGATCCAGTGACGTATTTCGGTCTCGTCTTCTAAAGTTGAGCCACAGAGGGAGGAGTGGGGGGAGGTTTGAGTCATGTACCAGGTGACTGAGAGAAGAGAACACTTTCCATAACCAATCTAGGGAAGAATTAAGTATAAATAATAATAAATTCAATTATAATCAATACTATATCATTAATATAGATAAGTATGATGGTTCTGTTCCTTCTTACCTCCTCTGTAGGACTCTCTCTTTCAAGAAACTCGCTCAAATGTTCCACTTCCCAAACGTCTTCGGTAGCCATTTTATTTTTAATAACTAGTAATTAAATCTAATTAGCTAGCCACGTGAAAACACGTGGTTCTTCATAAGCCTCAAGATTAAGACAATCACTTGTTGCTTTAGTAAGAACTGTAAGATATATTTACTCCTTTATTTATTTCTTTTCCTACCTCTCCTTTCTGTAGGAATCAAAGATATCTTAGTCTCAAAATGGCAAGATCTCCTTATTACAGATAAGGTAAGTGTTTATATATGTATTTACATGTACTTATGTATGTATAATAATGATTGGGGTATTTGGCTATGTTCATGTAATAAAAATTAGTAAAGTCAGTGATGATTAAGAGATACGGGCTGCTCTGCTTGATGTGAGAACATACAGAACTTTAGCGACACGTTTTTAAACATTGGTTTCTTGCCCAGTGTCCACTTAGTATCGCGTCTAATGATTAATAGCATCTATTTATTAAGTAATTAATTAATTCATTTATTAACTATATCTTCAAAATTGGAGAGTCCAGTGTAACCTGTTTACCTTCAGTGCTATTATTAACTATATATGGCTTTTTTAATGTTGTCCAATTTTAAAGGTCACTAAAAATTAGAATTAATGTATTAGCTATGATTTTAGCTTTAATCAAGTAAAAAATTAAATAAATATATAATTGCTTGACATGCAGTGTTATAGTATTAAATTAATTTCACATACATTCAATTTAGCATCAAAGCATACACTTGTTTCCTTGTTGACTGATTCCAAGAATAAACAAAATTGATATGTATTTTTGGTTGAATTTGCGCCATAAACTAGTTAAGTTTGTTAAATTAATTCATGCAAGGTCAACATAGATAAATTTGCAAGACCAAATAAACATGTTGTAACTAATAAAGTTATTATTTGGGACTGATTCACATTTCTTTATAAAGAAATATACATAATCCTGCAGCAACCATAAAAATATCGTCTTTGAAGGTATAGAGCAATAGAATAATGGCAAAACAGTTGGAGCAGTTTTATGAATTTCCAGAGGATTATGCCTCAGCACAGACAAATGAGAATATGTATGAACTTCCAGAAATTCATAGGAATGAAGAAAAGAAAAGCCATCTATCTACTCCTGCAGAACTAACTGTATCTCCTGATGTAGCAATAGGGCCTAAACAAAGGCAGTCATCTTGGAGTAAACCACAGCTTTGTATGACAGTATTACTCTGTCTCATATTGATATTATTAATAATTATACTGGGCATTGTAGTGTATGATAAGTATGCTACTGGTAATAATGTTGAGTGTACTAATACTGCAACTGGTGCTAGCAGTAGTAGTAATACAAATGAATGGGCTGATCGTATAGCTCAAAATATTAGCCAGAAAATTCCCAACTTCAATGAATGGGCCGATCGTGTAGCTAAAAAAGTTTTTAATGACAGCCTAAATATCAGTGAAGGGGCTGTTCATGTAATCAATGAAACAATAATGCAGAGCCTTCCTGACTTCAATGAATGGGCTAATGGTGTTGTCTCTAAAGTTAACAGCAATGTAACAGGGAGCCTTCCTGACTTCAATGAATGGGCTAATGGTGTTGTCTCTAAAGTTAACAGCAATGTAACGGGGAGCCTTCCTGACTTCAATGAATGGGCTAATGGTGTATCACAAAATACCCTTCAACTATTTCAGAACAATACCAACTTCACTGAACTTGATAAACAAATCTTACAAACTACAAGAGATTCTGAACAAAAGCTCATTAACATTGTCAATACTCTCTCTAATCTACAAGACACCAGTACCTCTACTGCTGGAGTGGCTGATGATATACTACTAATAGCACAAGAACTATTAATACTACACAATGACTCAACTGCTTTACCTACCTCTTGTAAAGAGATTAAGGAGAGACAACCACTCAGTCCATCAGGTTTGTATCAACTGGTAAGTAGATCCACTAATGCTACTTACACTGCTTACTGTAATATGGGAACATTGTGTGGTTCAGGAGGAGCATGGACAAGACTAGCATATCTGAATATGACTGATGCTACACAGAACTGTCCTTCTGGGTTTAGACTGTACCAGTCAGGAGGAGTTAGAGCTTGTGGCAGGCCAAATCAAGGTGTTGGATGCACTGCATCAGTTCAGTTCCCATCTAATGGTATCAGTTATTCTCAGATATGTGGTAGAGTAACAGGATATCAATTTTATACCCCTGAAGCATTTTTGGGCCCTAATAACATCAATTCTTATGTTGATGGTGTTAGTATCACTCGTGGGTCTCCTCGTCAACATGTCTGGACACTAGCAAATGGTTTAACTGATTCTTATAATCATCCATCTTGGAACTGTCCATGCTCAACAGGAAGCTCACAGACTGTCCCATCTTTTGTAGGAAGCCATTATTTCTGTGAGTCTGGTAATCATGCTTCTGGTTGGATTAATAAGCTTTACACATCTGATCCACTCTGGGATGGTCAAGGCTGTGGTTCTCGTGAACTTACTTGCTGCTCTGCTCCAGGGCTACCATGGTTTCACAGAGACTATGGTAACACTACCACTACTGACTATATTGAGTTGAGGGTCTGTGGAAGAGAAGGAACAGCAGATGAAGACAGTCCTGTTAGCTTTTATGAGATTTATGTCAAGTAGCATGTATAAACAAATAATTATAAATAATTTTACTTAATGAGAAATTAAGGGTGCATCTTTTAGTGATAATCATCTTTATTATGTTATTTTTCGCATGCTACTTCTTGTACATTAATTAACTATTTTTTGATACATAGTTAAATTTCCTTCAAGTTTTTCACAAATCAACATACTCCATGAGTGGGTAAAGCTCTATGTCACTGCTAATAACACGATTGCAAATACTTATAAAAAATCAGTATACTTATGAGAACTATGTCAGCATTTGGTCTTAAGGCTATGAGGCTGTGAGATATGACATACTAGCTATAATGACACTTATAGTTTGTGTTATCTAAATTAAATTTATGGCTATAATTGGAGTATTTGGCAATGTTCATGATTATGGCAATAATGTAATAAAAATTAGTAAAGTTAAGGCTACTATGATTGACGTGAGAAGGACCAGCACATACCCAAATTTTGGCCACACCTTTTTTTACATGAGTATAAACAAACAATTTAAATTAATTGCATCTATTAATTAATTATTTAATTAATGTATTAATTACACCTTCAAAAATTGAAGAGTCCAGTGTAACTATTGCTTTTGAAGATTATACATCAGCATAAGAATATGTATGAACTATGAACTAAAAATGAAAAATGTAAAACTAATAATAGTTAATATTATGTAAAACTAATATGTGTGCACTTTGCATGATAAGGTAAACATAATAGCTGCTTATGTGATCTGCCAGTTCAGATTGAGGAAAACATCTCCTTTGAATTTGTCAACCTGCATTCTGAACTGGAAATTTTCATATTTAATTATAACTACCTTACCCTTACCACTTTATACAAGATTATAAATAGGCCGATTGCTACAACATTGTGTGAGGTTGCAAACTCCATGATTTCGACAACCTTGGCATTTCTGTAATTCCTTTCCCTTCATAATTATTGCACACCTCAGTTGTACCCCTCTTCCTACTACAATGCATAATGAAACAGTACAATGATGTAAACAAGTATAAGTGTATATAGTAAACAATCACACAAACAAGTTAAACACATGCAGTTGAAAAGCAATCAACAACAATGATTTCACTTTTAAAAATACAATAATACTTAAGTGTGTTTGTGAATAATGATATTTTTCTGTATAAATGACCTAATTTCACAAGCCAGCTAGACTGCTGTGGTCTGTGAGACTTTTGTGAACCTGCTATACTATTTTTGCAACCAATAAATATGGCAAAATTGGAGGAGTTTTATGAGAGTATGTATGAACTTGGGGAAATTCATAAAGGAGAAGAAATGAAAAGCCAAGAGTCTTGCCCTGGACTGACTGTATTTCCTAATGTAGCAATGGGGCCTAAACAAAGGCAGTCATCTTGGAGTAAACATGATAAATTTCAAAGACCAAATAAATATGTTGGAATTAATAAAGTTATTATTTGGGACTGATTCACATTTCTATATAAAAAATATAAGCAAGCTTGCCGCAACCAATAAAATATCATCTTTGAAGGTACAGTGAGTGATGGCAAAACAGTTGGAACAGTTTTATGAATTTCCAGAGGACTATGCCTCCACACAGACAAATGAGAACATGTATGAACTTCCAGAAATTTGTAGGAAGGAAGAAAAGAAAAAGCCAAGAATCTCTTCTATCTACTCCTGGACTGACTGGGTCTCCTAATGTAGCAATGGGGCCTAAACAAAGGCAGTCATCTTGGAGTAAACCACTACTGTTCAATACAGTATTACTCTGTCTCATATTGATATTATTAATAATTATACTGGGCATTGTAGTGTATGATAAGTATGCTACTGGTAATAATGTTGAGTGTACTAATACTGCAACTGGTGCTAGCAGTAGTAGTAATACAAATGAATGGGCTGATCGTATAGCTCAAAATATTAGCCAGAAAATTCCCGACTTCAATGAATGGGCTAATGGTGTTGTCTCTAAAGTTAACAGCAATGTAACAGGCAGCCTTCCTGACTTCAATGAATGGGCTAATGGTGTTGTCTCTAAAGTTAACAGCAATGTAACAGGGAACCTTCCTGACTTCAATGAATGGGCTAATGGTGTTGTCTCTAAAGTTAGCTGCAGTGTAACAGGGAGACTTCCTGACTTCAATGAATGGGCTAATGGTGTTGTCTCTAAAGTTAACTGCAATGTAACAGGGAGCCTTCCCGACTTCAATGAATGGGCTAATGGTGTATCACAAAATACCCTTCAACTATTTCAGAACAATACCAACTTTACTGAACTTGATAAACAAATCTTACAAACTACAAGAGATTCTGAACAAAAGCTCATTAACATTGTCAATACTCTCTCTAATCTACAAGACACCAGTACCTCTACTGCTGGAGTGGCTGATGATACATTGTTAAATACTAAACAATTGTTAACAGTGTTTAATAATTCAATTGTTTTTCTTCCTAAATCATGCAAACAAATCCTCAATCAAGTACCCAAGGAGTCCATCAGGTTACTATATACTAACATCAATTAATGGTTCCACTACTTATGCTGTTTACTGTAATATGGGAACATTGTGTGGTTCAGGAGGAGGATGGACAAGACTAGCATATCTGGATATGTCTGATGCTACACAGAACTGTCCTTCTGGGTTTGGCCTATACAATTCAGGAGGAGTTAGAGCTTGTGGCAAACCATCATTATTCAATGGCTGTGTATCAGTTCAGTTCCCATCTAATGGTATCAGTTACTCTCAAGTGTGTGGTAGAGTAACAGGATATCTGTATGGTTATATTGATGCTCTTAATACTAACATTGTCACTGGTGCTGAAGGTGTTACTATTTCTTGTGGATCTTCTCAACAACACGTCTGGACACTAATGGCTGATATTAGTGAATCAAGCTCTGCATCAAATGCATGTCCATGTTAGTACAGTATCTGTTCCAGCTTCTATTGGTAATAACTACTTCTGTGAATCAGGGACTAGCAACCCATCATATACTCTCTTCACATCTGATCCAATTTGGGATGGTAAAGGTTGTGGTTCTCTTGAATCACCTTGTTGCAATGCTCCTGGTATCCCATGGTTTCACAGAGACTATGGTAACACTACCACTACTGACTATATTGAGTTGAGGGTCTGTGGAGATTACCCTGATGAAGATACTCCTGTTAGTTATTATGAGATTTATGTTAAGTAGTGAAAAGTATGTGTATGTATTGTTTTGGCTTTTTAGAATCCGACAGTGGTGATTTTATTGTGTTTTTCTAATTGTCTTTATGCATAAAGATATAGTCATTATACATGTACTTATGTTGTGTAGAAGTTACTGGGCATTGAGAGTGAATGTACATCAAATTTTTCCAAAAGTTAAATCAGAAAATTCTCGATTTTTATAATTTTTACTGATACATATGTATGTACTATGTTATGTAGAAAGTTTGAGTTGATCAAGTTTAGATTTTTTATGAATTTTTAAATTGCTCAAAAATTTGGCCCTTCTGGCCAAATTTTGCCAAAAATGAAAACTCCACTTTATAATTTTTCTGAATATACGTGTACTTATGTGAACAGATTCTAATCAAGTTTGGTTTTTATATGTATTTACATTTGGCAATAATTATTATGATTACAGCAATAATGTAATAAAAATTAGTAAAGTCAGTGGCAATCAAAGGAATGTAAGAGATGCTGGCTGTTCTGATGACCATTTTGAATGTTATCTTGTAGACTATAAGTCATGAAACTAGTTATCAAGTAAAATAAACATGTAACGAAAAGAAAAATAAATTTAGTAAATCATTAATGCACAATAAACATACTTAAAGAAAACAAAGACACAGTGTAAGTGTAAACAACTAGCAAACAAGTATTGAAACTACAGGATGAGTATAGTTTCTTTGTATATTTTC